TCCGTCAGCTCTCGATGGAAAGGCCCTTTGATTATGATGTCGTCCAAATAAGCTGCGACCCCTGATAACCCGGCTAACATCTATCCATGATTTGTTGAAAAATCGCGCGAGCTGATTTGACACTAAACGGCAAACGTTTGAACTGGTAACGACCTCGGTACGTATTGATTGTCAGCAAATTTTTTGAAGCGTCATCGACTTTCATTTGTAGACAAGCATGTGATAAATCTAACTCTGCAAAATAAGCGCCACCACAGAGCTTAGCAAATCAATCTTCTGCGCCTGGTAAAAGATACTGGTGCATTTTTAAAGTAGCATTCAATCCCGTAGAGTAGTCAGCCCAGCTACGAATACTTCCATTTGTCTTCTTGACGATAACCATAGCTGCTGCCTATGCCAAATAGTTCACAGGTTGGATGACGCTGGCTCGCTCCAAACGATCACGTTCCGCATCAACAATCGGAAGCGCAGCGTATGGTACCAGTGTTTTGGGTCGGAACACCGGCTTGGCACCGAATTTGAGAGGAAGGCTTGTTTTGCTCTTTGTGCATCTTCCAATGTCATTGCGAAACACTATCGCGAATTTTCTTCGTAGCTACTTGATCAGGTTCTTGTTTGATTCATCCACTTCCGAAGAGGACCTTGGATGTCCGAGCCGGAGGGTACTCCGGACGTGACTCAGGGGAAGCTTGAACAGGTGGAAATTCTGGATTCGATCAAGTCCAAGCAGATTCAAATGTGGCGGCTCCGCAATGTACGCGATGCCGTTTGTCCGAGCAGCGTCAAAACTGTTTCACACTGCAGCTCACCAATGAAATTAAGTTGACCGCCTGAAGCGTTAAATGCAACATGTGTCGTTCTGCGGTTTGACGGTACACCATTATACTGCCAAGTTTTGTGGGAGATAATTGTGATGTCCGAAGCTTTATCCAAATGAAGACGTACATGTTGCCCGTTCAGGTGAACTCTGATCTACTTTCTAGGAACCACATATACATCAGAGTAGGCCGCTTGAACCGCATTATAGCTGCTGAATCTTTACGGAACATTCGAATTCGGTCGCGAATGTCCAGCACGCTTGAACAGCAGTCTGGATTGGCAGTGCGTTTTCTTATGGCCACCTTTATGACACTCGTGGCAAAGGTGTTTCAGGAATGGATGAACTCGAACAAAATGCCACTCACCACATCTCCAACAGGCAGTCGGGGACTTGGGATTCTCTCTGGGCTTTGCATGATCGGTTTCACTTGGAAGCGGTTTCTTGGAGGTGGTTTTCGATTTATTAAGACTTGGGATTGACTGTTGCCTCTCCAGCATAAGCGTCGCATGCTTGAGAGTTGCTAGTCTATGGCATTCAGTAGTGGTGGTCTGTAGAGTCATTTACTGGTCTTGTTCAAGTTTACTCAGAAGTCTGGTGCCAATCTCTGCATCCCGTGGGAATGTGAGCCACAGATAAAAAGCAGGGATTCGAACTGTTCTGCCGTGATGGTTCTATTGGCAAATTTTTCGCACTCGTGCTTGACGATGCCAGCTTAACTGCCATAGTCATCTGTGTCCATCTTGGTGATCTCCAGGCATTGATATCGTTTGTTGAAGATGGATGACTGCTCTCCAAATACTTGGCCCAAACATTTGACGGTCGCATCAAAAGTGCAATCTCGAGCGTTCTTGCACAAAGTAAAATTGACATCCCTGGAGTGCTCTGCTGTTCCAAGTTTCCTTAACAGCAATCGGACTTTCCAGTCGTCATCATGGTCACCAAGTTCAACGCGGGACACATCTTCATAACTCCTGAACCAGGATTCAAAGGTGAGACCAGCATCAGGGTCATACGGAAATTCGGTAATGCTGTTAGTGGTGGTGTCTATTGATGCGGACGACTTGACGGTTGTAGACTGTGAACCGGTCTGGATTGACAGTTGGCGCGTAAGAGTTTCGATCCACCTGAGTTGGGATGGCTCCAATTGTGCTTGTTGCTGCAGCGGCATGGCCTTGAGCTTGTCAGCTGATATGAACATCATGATTAGGGTTCAATCCGTCGCCAGCTGAAGTGCTCGTCCCTCGTCTGAATCGACAGTTGGTTCGCAATCGGAACTCGAGGTTGCTGCTCCCCCCAAGAGTCAGAGGATACCGGATCGGACGAGCAGAAGAACAGGGATGTATTGGACAACCACACCGTTAATAATAAAAGCAAAATCAAATGTTCGTGAATGGTAGTTAAAGCGCACGTGGAAAACTCCAGAAGGGTCAACTTACGGCCGAACACGTAATGTCACCCTCGTGTTAATTGGCCGCTTCACCGGGTTGGCTATCTGCTCGCCTTAATCAGTGCAGGTGAGTTTGGCTCGCCTGCCATGCCTTGGCTTCGTAACCGGGGTGGCGCCACCGTTGTTCGCTTCGTCTCTTCCTTCCGAACATTATGTGGTCTTTCGGCTTTTGTTTTTTTAACCTCCCCCTTCGCCAGTAATTCTTTTTGTTTTCTTTTATTGGAAGTGCTTGCCGACAATAGTTCTCCACTTGAGCGGTGACCGAATATGTCATCCTTTCATCTCCTGTTTGAGTAAACCGCCTTATTTTTACCATTATTCTTCTTTGTGTTTTTCACTTCTCAGGTATTTTATTCGCTAAGCTGTTGGCATTCTCGGTTGGCTCGGTCTTGCTAGCAAGTCATCTGCATACACTCGCTACCGATCTCCATGGAGGTTCTCCGCGTCTCACTTCCAGAATCTGTGAAAGCAAAGAGAGCGTGCATCTATGAGTTCTGGTTGTTCGGGTGAGCTGCTACGATCGATCGACCTATGCTAGTCTGTGCTGTCCTTTCCGCTATGTCCACGAGACACGTGAGCTGGCCACAATCACGTGCGTCTTCATCAGGGTTTATCTGCATTCCCATACATGTTTGGCCGCATGCGGTTTCGGATGTGCCTGTCACTGTGGCCAGCCGCAGGACGCCTGCGCCTACAGAGAGACCATGGCTGGCTTGCGCTGCACCACCCACAGCTCCAACCACACGCCCCATATCCAGTATAAACGCGAAGGAATAAGACCGGGAGACATGTGGATGGGAGCCATGTTTCATCAACGGAGCCGGCCCACACTCCTTCACAGGCAAACACAAGCACGCTGTATTTGGGGAATCAAAGGCATACAAGGCGCTGGCTGGACCGTAATCCGCTCCACACTGACCGCATGGAACCAATCTTCGAGCCTAGCACGACCACAAGGACCGTGCACCCCGCCCCCTCCAACAACGACCAACTGTCTCCTGGACCCAGTATGGACGAGGTGGTGGGTAACAGACAGGTAGACACCTTGTCAACATGCACATCAAGCGCAGCCACACCGGAGATATCAAACAACAGCCAATCACTTGAAACGACAAGATGAAATAAAATAAATCGGATAATGTGTTCGGATATGGTGACATAACTCTTCGCTTAATAAGCATATGAAGTAAGTCGATTAGCAACGAATCAGCGACAAGTAAAAATGGCCACAAGTTACTTACAAATGCTACAAACGCGACAAAGTTATCGAAGGTAAGCGCAGTTAGCGCAAGCAACGTGGCCCGTTAATAGAAGATTATTCAGCTTGGCAGAACAAACCAAACATAGTGGAATGAAATTTATGCAGCATAAAAAGACCTAGTTTAAGTGCAAGTTGGTTTAGCCCAACTGCGGTGAAGAAGCATCAAGAATGCAACATCAGCCTCAGCATGGGGCATTCCCATTCACCGGCTTACTAGTCCCTTCCGTAACAGTTGTAATTTGCTATAAGGACTGCGCCCTTATGGTTTGTTGGAAAACATGTTCTAGTTCAAACGATGGAGTTGTTTATATATCGTGTACCATCGATCACACGTAATTAGCGTTTCCATACGGTCATTGCAGGGCATCCAACGTACTACCGTGCAATGGGTACCCGAGAACTAACACAGCACTACGGGTGTTAGGGTCAAAGAGACCGACGCGTTTGATTAAGACGCCAACGACGTCCCACAATTTATACATTTTCAACAGCAGCTGAGAAGAGAGAGAGAGTGTCAAATCGGGCACAATGCACGAACGCATCTCTAAGTGGTTACCCAAACAAATGGGAGGTTTGACAGTTGTATGGGAAAAGTCCAGATGCAACGCCACACCAGCAATCACGAAGAGTTCAGTGCACACAGATCACCGGGGAACCTGGATGCACTAATCCATGTCCACATGCGCAACTGAAGATCATCGCCAGTCCACAGCGACAGCCGTCCGATTCGCAGAAGCAGCTAGCAGTGACTGGATCTACCGTGGTAATGCAAATCGAACCAACTGGGCCCCCACTAGTCACCAACCAGCTTCGCCCTGTCATTAGTAATTGTTTTTAATTTTCTTCAGCCAGAAATTACTCCTATCTGGGGCGTCTCGTTTAACCTTTGAATACGAATCAAGTGTATATATCACATCCGCATTACCTGTTCCATACGTTAGGCTACATACCGCTGGTTGTCCGTCACTATGCACGTTATTGATTCTGTATTCCTCTTGAATGAGCTAACTTCTGTTGCCCGAAATGCACTACATGAACATCTGCTGTGGATATCGTGCAAAGTCCAAGCCCAGAAGTTACAAATCACTCAATTGGCCTGCGAGATGTAACTCGGTATGGGGCACATGCATTACACCACTAGTGACGAACCCACTTGGTCTCCCATCATTGAAGTCTTACGTAACCATAGCCATTCAGAATGGCATGCGCTGGCTTGTGTGTGATTGTGTGTGTACGATGAATGTCCAAGCCCATCGATCCCGCGGCCTAACGCTGTTCACACTGTCCGATTAAACCGCTCAGTCTTTCGCCAATCCACCCACCATTTCGTCCGCAATTCTAGCGCTTGTGATTGTTTGCTGAAGTAGAGGGGGAGGGATGACACGCCGACAATCCCTCTACCCTTACACGCTCTGATTGGTCAGCCGAATTCGATGGGCTCACCTGTACCTCGATAGCGCGCGTGTGCATTTGAGCACGTTAGAGGTCAGCGGACGCGTTCATTCCACCTTGTCCGTATCTGCAACCACCGGGACACTGTCGATTCGGTGAGTTTTATGCTAATGTTTACTTTGGATGATATATGCATGTGAGTTGTGGAACTCTAGGTAGCCAATATATGAGAAGAATGGACAATCTACACCGTGGGCTGTCACCAGATCATTCACAAGCCAGTCAACACTGTAATCTTGGTATACAGTTAAGTCTATATAAGTTGGAGATGAGAGACGACATCTTGTCCATTGGGATGGAGTAGCAGGAATAGTCCACATTGCGTCATTCCTCTCGTCACGAACTAGGGTGGGGAAGAAACTACCGTCAGTTAAATTGGGGACCCGGATGAGTCTGCGATTCTAAAGTGGATCGCATTCCTCCAGACTTTCCCGAGCTGTCGGTGAGAATTACTTCGTGTCCGCACCACGCAAGCAGCTGCTGCAGTTAGTTGCAAGGCAGATATGAAGAGAGTAGAGTGACCTAGTCGGTTAGAGTGGACCGACTCTGTTGGTGATTATCAGGAACAGCGCTCACAGTGTAGTACGAACCGCATGCACATCAACTTGACAAAATACATGGCCTAATTGTCGGTCCACTGCCTCACTGTCGTAGAGCAGCGGCCACCCGGGCAAGAAAAGCAGGCGGGATTTCAACGTTGGCATGTTACACAACTGCACTCTGTAACAAGTGTGCAGGCATCGCTACTTGAACAACCAGAAGTAAACTGCCCGACATGAAAGAGGCTGGTTTGGCTCCTTTAAGCACTACAGTCCGTTCAATAGACTTACTTTCTAAAGCATTCTTGTCTGAGTTGTAAGCATTTTGGTGCTATGTGCTCAACTACTTTTGGTTGCAACGACGCCAGTTCCGAATTTTCGGCGATCGCCATATTTTTTTACACACCGGCATTTTTATCGAAAAGTTTTATTGAAAGTTTGAACAAATATAACAACAGATTAGACAGTTATGTGTCCTCCGTTATCGTGTACGACCTGCTCCCAATTCTCGACCGAATTATCAACACAGCTTCAACAGAAATTGCCGGACCCGCACTAGGAGCCCGCACTAGAAGCCAATATTTTGGGTACTCGATTTCATCGAAGCCTTCGCTTAGCATTTTTTGGCAGCGTGGGGAAGAGATGGCTATACGTCGGTGCGAGATCCGGAGAACAAGGTGGAGTTTAAAATCTCCCGATCTAGCTTTTGCCAGGTCGCATTGATGAGGTGTCCAACATGGGGCCTGGTATTGTCATGGTGCAAAATGATCTGCCCTTGTCGATCAAGTACTTTCTACTACATGGTCTCATTCTTACGGCGCAATTAGTCTCAGTAGAGTTTCCTATCAGCCGTTTTGTTCTTCTTAAGCTTCTCTCAGTATACGATACCCTTTAAGTCCCATCAAATGTAGATTATGGACTTTTGAGATGTGGGTTTTGCTTATCTCTCGGTTTTGGCGGGTCTGCTAGAATCATCCGCCCCTTCTTTTGATTCAAGTCCACATGGAGGCAGCGATTCTTATCTGTCATGACACTTATCTATAGCAATCGCTTATTGTGGTCGCGTGTTGCCTGGTGTCGGGCGAGATGTCAAGCAGCAATTTGAAGGTGATTTTCTTTGTTGTTCCCTGTAAGCTCGTGTGGAAACTAAGCTCCAAGTTTTTGAGTAAAGCAGTTGATCGAATGTGACGCTACATCGTCTTTGCATTACTATTCATCTTCTCGACCAATTCTCTGTATGTTTGACGACCATCCTCCTTCAATAGTTCCGTGGACTTCATCACCAGTCTCATGTTGCAGGCATTGAACTTCTTTGGTTTGCACCTTCATTGCTCCAAATGATGTTGCGCGGCCTGTGTCATCAATTCAGCTACCGAGGAAGAAGTTCAAAAACAGTTGATTCATCCATCTAATCTGGTAGCTGCCTTAGCAGCGACAAGCAGATGACCGCGCCTGTCGCGAAATCAGGATTACACTCACTCATCTTGGACATGTCTGGAGCCACATGGTTGTGGCTTTTGATCATAATTGCGCACATGACCACATCGAAGGTGCATCTCTCACAGGAAATGGGAGTTGACGTCTTCAATCTGATCATCGCAAACATCTGAATTCTATTCATTGACTATGGAGATGCTCAGCATAGTTAGTTCGTCGCAGTGACTTGAGCGCGTACCACTTATGCCCACCAGTCGCCTAGCGTGTAGCAGAAGCATGTCTTAGATCTGGGATGACTTTAGAGTCCGAGGATATTAGCCGTTGACTTGGCAGTGCAAACTGAACTCGGGTGCTACTAATCTGACCGGTGATAGTCTATCTGCCCCTTTAGATAGGATCGTATATGATCCTCTTGTTTTTCAAACGACAGCGGCAGATCACTGACAACCGGCACCACTGTCAGGCTTACTGACGTTCCCTAGCCGAACCACTGGACTAGATTGCGTATGGTACCCAATTATCCTTGAAATGACGTTGGTTATGCTGCGGGGCGGTGAAAGCCACCACGTATTCTTCTCACTATAGCAACCCATTTGTGGTCTTAATCTTAAATGTTCGCTCGGCCTCCTCGGGTCTTGGAAACAGTTACTCTTCCGCTTTCCTTTTTTATTAGACGCATGAGCAGTGGCTTTTGATTCCAATAGTCGGGTGTTGCTTCTCACTCGGTTCCAAATCCGATAACTCTTCACAAGACCCAGAAAGCACTAACTAGCTCTTTGGACATGTTAGATCACGTCTGTAGTGCGAATCTATCGGATCCACTAGGGTCCGAACCCACGACCATTAGGGGCTTGCGCCGCTAACCTGATCATATGCCTGATGTCGTTGCACTACTGACATGTTCGTCGTGTAAAGACATCTGGCTTTGCAGAAAAAGGTTTTAACTATGCCGCATTTGTGCGCAACAGGCGAATCTAGAGAAAGGCAGTTATTGTCCGTTTTAATTCGTTTTTCGAAAGTCAGTCACTGAGGTCTGCCATTCGTCCGCCTCCTAATAACCACATTTAAAGACTTTAGACTGCCCTGCGGCTCAGTCTTGTGTGTCATTGAGAAGTTAGTGTGTGTGGAATGTAGAATTGCAATAAGACGCAGGATTATTTTGTTCCATTTTGAATTTCACGTGTTCATTTGCGTTTGGATCCTAAGTGTGTTGCGTTCGCAACCGATGAGAGCAATTGCAATGTCATCAAAGCGCGGCTCATCTTCTTTCTGAGCTCAGTACATGGTTAAAGGGGACACTGACACGACCCTATTGCTGTCCAACGCGGGTCACAAACGTCTGCAGTGAACTGTGCATGGCAGTGGGCATGAACGATGGCGCGCACGTGGCTCTGCTCCATTTGCAGTCGAACAACTACAGGGTGGCAATTCTAATCTAGTGTGAAGAAGTGTCAGAAATGGGTACAAGTGATCTGTGTAAACCAAATCATTTCGGTTATATGTGGAAAAAGCGCAGTGTTTCCTACTGACTATTTCGTTGTCCGACTTGTTGTGGGCTCTGCTTTTATCCAACTCTGTGGGTTTCCTAGTACAACCACAATCACGGCAATCGGCATCTCATTTTGGGGAGAGGCCAAGAGCACTTAAGCGATCAAGTTATTCAAACACCCAGATCATCCGAACAAATGTGCGTCATCGGTATCACCGTGAAGCCGATTGCAGTCCCATTTTAAAGGTTGTGCTCACAAGATAACAATGGGACTCTAGGTGGTTAACAGTCAACTGATCCGGCCTGTTGGATTACACCGCCTCAGACTTGTTGACCGCTGAGTATGAGCACACGCAAATTAACTGTCGAAGTGGGAAACGTATCGTCTAATCAAGGAAACGTGTTACTCTGAGCATCTTCTGAAGTTCCAGTTGGCACAGCTCTCTTGGCCTGATTGAAAGAGGAGGTGTGTGCTCGATGACGCAGTACGAGGACGGTGGCATTGACTAATCCCAGGTTTGTTGGTCCATCTCACTCTTCAACCTACAGTACAAACGGCTCGATATAGCTCACGCTCCTAGGCTCTTCTACTAAGGCATGCTAACTGTGTGTGTGCTATAAACCTTCACCTGAATGTTCTGCGGACCTCTGGCTAACATTAATAGCGATGACAGACATTGGGCATCACAGCTGGCTCAAAGCTGTTCCCAAAAGACGGTTTCTATGATCCACAGTAAGCGATCAGTGTTTCAACTAGTAGGTAGTTCTCAGGTAGCCCTTCATCTTCTTCGGTGATCATCTTGCCTACCAAGTTCTTATTAGTCATATTGGGAAGCTTCAAGGAAGTTTGCACTGGGAATTCGGCACTGCTTATGCGGCTAATACATTTACCGTTCTATGCTTGCTTAAATAACCGGATGGGCCTAAATTAATGCGGGTGACTTCCCACCGATCATCAGCGATTCACGGTGGTCCTAACTATCGGAAAATTGTTATCCCACTCTGGCCAAAGCTGATCTTAATGATGCTCTCGGTGTTCATGTGATAACAGACAAGCAGATCATTTGTTTAGCCAGCTGCAGGAAGGGAACAAATCCAACCAACGTCACCTATTCAGTTGTATCGGAGAGGGTGTTGTCTTATCCCAAATTTCCGTTCCTTGACAGAACCGAGACGTGGGTGTCTGTTGTCTTGAGGACGCATCTCCCTTTCCCTAAGTGGACAGCGCCAGATCAGCGTAAAACATACGGCTGTTATTAGTGTCAGTAGCAAAGTTTTGTTGCTTACGTCGCGGGATATTCCTTCGTACTACTGGCGCGAATCTCAACAGCTGCTTTAACGAAGATCAGGATGCCAGTTGCTCTCACACCGGCTCCACAGATTACTTCTGATCGATCAGGTTTTCAGACGCAAAACCCGCACTGACCCCTTACCGGAAGACTCGAAAACCCGTACAATACATAACTGTATGTGCTCCACCGTCAATGCATCACCGACATGTTGCTATCCTGGCTTATCTAGAAGCGCTCGGTCAGGTTACAAGCTCAGCAACATCTTCAGTAGCACACTGAAACGAGCAGCGACAAAATTCGCACGTATCGAATAGTCTCTGCGGCCTTTGAACGTGGTA